GTTGTTTGCGTGTGTGCGGGCATTTTATAACAGCAATTACAAAGGGCGTAATAAAAAAGTGTTGTGATGATGCAAATGACGTTAATGAAGATGTAATGATGTAATGATGTCATGATGCGATAACGACAAGCACAAATACAACAATAATAATGGTGATGGCGATGATGATAGGAATGATGATGCTGACGAAATAACAGAGACAAACATAGAATAGTGACGTCAATGATGATGTTGAAAATGATGATGATAACAATGACGTGGACGTCGATGATGATGATGATGACAACCTCGACGACGATGATGATGATGTTAACGTCTTTTCAGCCGAAAAGTTTTGAACGCGTCAGCCATTTAAATGTTTTAAACCGGACGCCGTGAGCGCGCTTCTGCCGCTGCTGCTGCTGATGATTATGTCGTTTGTGATGGTGATAATGATAATAACGTTCTGCTGCTGCTGATGCTACCACTACTACTACAAAAACGACAACATGATGATGGTGATGATAAAGATGATGATGAAAGTAATAATTGTTTAATGATAGTGACGGTATTTGATGATGCTAATGATGACATCTTTTTCTTATTATTTTTATTTTGATTATTTTTACTATTATTATTATTATCAGTTATCACTAACAAATGAACAACAACAGAAAGGGCGATAATAAAAGAGATAATATGAGAGACGACATAGAACAAATAGACCTCAATTTACGACGAGGATGACCTGAATGGTGATGACGTTAAAACAAAGAACATGAAAAAGGTCACCATCGAATTATGATAATGATCGTTTTTGTAAACATTACATCGTCATCAGCACCACCATTCATTATTATTACTATCATCAACATTATCATAACATACAATCACTACTACAGCTATTACAACCACTATTACTACTTCTGCTGCTGCTACTACTACTACTACATCCACTACTACAACAACTACTACTACTGCTGTTGCTGCTACTACTAATTTTATTATTACTACGACTATGATGATGATGTGGTTATCATCAATTTAGTTAGTTGATATATTTGAAGTTGTTGTTGCTACGGCCTACAAGCAAGTGTAAATTTAATGATTAAATTATACAGATAAGTTAAGGTTTCATCTCTCTCTCTCTTTCTTTCTCTTTCTCTTTCTTTCTCTCTTTCTCTCAATCTATCATTCTTTTTTTTCTTTCTCACTCTCTCTCTCTTTCTTCCTTCTATGATTCTCTCTTCTTTCCCTATCTCTCTTTCTCTCTCTTTTTCTCCAATGTTTCGTTGTTATCTCTACTTCTTCTTCTAACTCACTTTTCAGTTTTACTTGTTTAAACTACAAAGAAATCCAAATTATAATGATAAAAAGTTGTTATAAAACGATAGGATTGTCATTATGTTATTTGGTTGTTTTTGTTGTGGCTGTTATTAATTTGATCAATTTGTTCAATGCTATCTTTCCCTGTTCACGTTATGATGTTCAGCAGTGAAGTGATGACGACGAAAATGATGAACCATCTGGCAATGATGACGATGGTGGTAAATCTAATGTTTAAAAATAACAACCAGATAATGGAAGAATGAAAACAAAGTAGTGATGACGATGATAAAATAAATGATGATGATGGTGATAAAATAGGAAAATAAAATAAGATAACTACGATAATGATGAAATCCTGACAGGAATTATTGGATAACACGATGATGATGACGACGATGACGAAGAAGAAGAAGATGAAAATGACGATCACATGGCGACCAAAAGAGAAAGGGAGTTGTTGCCGGTGCATTGTGATTCATATAAATTTCAAGATTACATGCAATTATCTTTTGATTTGAACAAAATTTACTATTGAGCAATTGTTTTCTTTGGCTACTAACACTACCACTACTACTAGTACCACCACCACTACTACCACCACTACTACTATCACTACTACTACAGCTACTTCTACTGCCACAGTACGTTAATCGGGTTCACAAATAGTACACACACACACACACACACACACACACACACACACACACACACACACACACACACACACACACACACCTAACCACACGTACGCAAACACACAATTCTATTTTATGCTACTATGTTGCTAAATGCAACTGCAATCAGCATATATCTAACTAACAAATAAAAAAAGCCGACAAGAGAATTTTTATTGACGACCAGAACTTTAAAGAGAACGTGTAATAACATTTATTTAAAACTGTATAAAGACCCAGTTTTGAATCCGTTTAAATGTTTTCGTAACTGGCATCTTAAAAATCTAAAATCTCAGAACTACAAATATTTTATTAAATTTTAAAAATTATAAAATTTTCAAATGAAAGAAATGAGGAACGTTGAACAAGAACACTTTTTACAGCATCATTCCAATCATTTGTCAGTATAGAAGATGAAAGTGAGCCTAAATTTGAAACCTTAATTGCAAGCAAAGGTTAAGTGGTTGAGGTTATTAGGTTAAGTGCGTGTGCACCTGATTTGGGGTTTCACTTACCTACCTACCTATCTACGTCCATGCAAAATCTAATACGGAATGATATTACGTTACTTTGTTCCATCGTTTTTCCATATCATCTTATAGTACCATATATCTTTTAATATTACTCTATAGCATTCTGTTGTTCCAGATTATTACAAATCATTTCATATCATCTAGTCACATTCTATGCTATCCTGCATCTCATATAATTCTACACTATCCTATATTGATACATAACAATTCGTATCATTCCAAATTATTCCTTATCAGTCCATATCATTCCAGATGATCCCGTATCATCCCATAGTATACTACCATGTTCTAAATTGCTCCCACTGCTTTTTATCGATAGACGCTGTTTAAAAAACAGTCTTCATTTCTCTTTCTTCGTCCTAAATATTTTTCGATTTTTATTACTTCGGTACGTTCGTTTTTGTGAAACATGAAACACACACGCACACACACACACACACACACACACACACACATAAACACAAAACGCACATATACATTAAACACATAAAGGTATATATGGACTTATCAACTAACTAACATAAACATTAAAGATAGACCACCACATAAAAAGTGACAAGATATGCGTATGTGTATGCATGTCTGCCAAACTAGATACCTACGTCTCGATGAACGAATGGAAAAGTTAACAAAACAAGTGATCGTTGAAAAAAATATGAAAGATCAGAAGATTGACAGATTGATTGATTATTTAATTGAGAAATATTTTGATTGGTTGATTGATTGGTTGATTGATTTGTTAATTGATTGATTTATTGAATAATCATCTTAGTGCTTATTATTTAATTTATTACTCTTCCATCCAGACAGTTTCTTACCATAACAGACCTTTTAAATAGAATTCTGTCCTAGACCAACAGCCAATGAAGTTTGTTTTTCATGGAATGTTGTCAAATTTGGAAACCCGGGCAATCCATCTAGCTGCAGACCTCAGAATCGAGTGAAGGGATGCCAATTGATATTTGCTGACACCATATAGTAGAGTTATAGTAGTCAATTCTCGTACAGATAAGACTGCACGCCAGAGTTTTTGCTGACCCTTCAGCAAGACAGCGTCTAAATGTACTTATCCTATGAAGGTGATGATGGATCGTCGGCAGGGACATTTCACATGATTCTCCATGGAAAGACCTGGATCGAGGTCGACGCTAAGATCAACAACTGGATCTTTAGAATCATTCACATTCAGCAAATTGTGCTTACTCTCAAGCCACATAAATTTAGTTTTATTGTTGCTGGGTTTTAGTTTATTTGCTGACATCCACTGTTCTGCCGCTTTTATTGCCTTTGACACGGTATTCGATAGATTACCCATAGACTGATGGATTGATTGATTTATTGATTAATCGATTAATCGATCAATCAATCGATCGATTGATTGATTGATTGATTGATCGATTGATTCAATGATTGAAAGAAGGAACAAATAAAAGAGCGATAATAATTAAACGTTCCTAACCGATTTGAACCGAAGAAATAATTATATGATAAGAATTAAGGCGATAACGCTCCAAAAACAATTACAAAAAACAACAATAGCAACAACAACAACAACAACAACAACAATAACAATAATACTTATAAATAACAATAATAATCAACATTAATTATTTTGATATAATTTTTCATTTATATTTATTATACCAGGACTATAAAAACAGATGAAAATAATTAAAGGAAATAATAATTTGCCAGCGAAATGGGAGGTCCGCTGTTGTTTAATTAATTATGACGTCACGATCATCGCCATTATTATTATTATTATTATTATTATTATTATTATTATTGTTATTACTGTTATTATTGTTGTTGTAATTTATCATTAAACTTTTTATTTATTTATGTATTAATTCAGTACTGGTTATGATTAATAATGTTGTTAACTAATTATCATGATCATCATGATCATTATTATCATCAAAACCGTCATGATAATATTAACGATAATAATAATAATAATAAAACAACAACAACAACAAAGTTAAATCACTAATTAGACCAACAACAAAACAGCATCAAATGACGTCATTAACAACATCTATCTTATAAAAATTAACTAACACTAAACAACTTGATCAAAAAATCAGGAGAACAACAAATTCAATGATTACGTCATAAACTACAACAACAACAACAACAACTTTAACATCTTCATCTTTAACAACAACAACGACGTCAACAGAAACATAAATAAAAACAAAATAATCAACACAAACAACAAAGAAAAAGCAAAAACATTAACAACAACGTCAACAACAATAACAGCAATATCATCAACAACAACAACACAACAACAACAACAACCACAGCAATATCAACAACAACCACAACAACAACACAGCAACAACAACAACCAAAGCAACAACAACAACAACAGACGTTAACTTTGCACTCTTTGACTTGAAAGTTATTGGAACTTAAGAAAACAAACATCAAGCATACAAGTTTATACATACATTGTATATACAAAATATATATAAACTAT